GTTATGAATCCACCTGTTTTTATTGGCATCAGTCTTTTTCATGATGTTCTTTCTGATCCCGACAGCAGTGAAAGCTCCAGTTTTTATTCAGTGCATTCAGAGGAGCCTAAAGATCAGGATCAGTCAGTCACAGCTTCCAACCTTTTCTTGGTGCAGAGATTTGTCTGTATTGTCAAAATGTTTTCATTACTTTTCAGGACTGATAACATCTTCAATTTCTTATTATTTTGAAGTCTCCACAGCTAACCTAAGGGTACCCGAAGAGTAAATGTGTTGATGATTCAGTACAGATGTATTGGTGGGTACAGTAAACTGATCATGAATACTTCAGCCTTTGGTGATGTCTGAGCAACCAAACATTTTATTAAAGTGCAGATTACTAACAGCCTTGACAAAAAAGAAGCAGACAACGATAACTTTCTACACCAAAAAAAGCATGGTTGGGTCAGAATTAGCCTGGCCCTTGCCTTCCTACGCAGCTCTACTCAATTCTAGTTTCCCTTCACTGCTCCGTCTGGGACTTCTCCCATTGAGATGGATTTCGCATGCAGATTTTTAGCCGGGCCAARCAGAGAASAGAACMTCAATTTTCTGKGCAGTGTCTGCTTGTAGTTTATTTTACCTGGGCCAATCAGAGAACAGAAGGAGGAGTTTGGAATGACCAGTGATGCCAACTTAGCGACTTTGTCACTAGATCTAGTGACATTTTAGACCACTTTAGCGACTTTTCCCCCCAAAAAGTCGCTAGATTTGTCAGACAAATCTAGCCCCGGTGTTTTTAGAGACTTTTAGGAGCTTTGGTGACAACATTTTCCAAGCACGTTTTTCCTTTCCTCCTCTGTTCCTCCGCAAGCAACGAGCGCGGAGGTGAGCCCCTCCCCCTTCCTAAAGCTGTCCGACTCACTGAAGCCTGCAGCACCCCTAACCCTGCCCCCAGCCTCGGCTGAAGTCAACTGAGAGGAGAGACAGCTGCAAATGAATCACGTATGCGCAAATCTGTCACTGCTTCTATGTGGTTTACAAAGCAGGATGTAATATTTATTGTAATGTTTTTTTTCTCTGGTACTGTCTCTGTAAACTAAATCTCTGGACCCAGCTGTTTTTGACTGACAGATCAGTCACTTCAGTTCACCTCTTCCTCCCTGTGTCTCGTGACATCAAACTGTCTGCAGATTAAATTTAAGATTCCCTCAAATTTAATTTATGTGGATCTAAGCATTGAACTCATAAAATTGTTTTTATTTCATTAAGTTTAATTGCAGTTCTAAACATATTTAGTGTTTTTATTCACTTTTTTCTCTTCATAATCTCTCCTATAGCTCAGATCACAATTATTTGCAAACATCCAACTATGCAAATTAAGTGATGACGTCATCTAGCAACTTCTAGTGACTTTTAGGACAGCCAATAGGGACTTTTCTTGCTCAGGGGTTGGCAACACTGTGAATGACATCGATGTTCTGCGCAGTCTGCTAGTTATTTTAGCATATGGTAGTGGAGGAAGTGAATGAAGCCAGTCTGTGTTGATAAGACTTCCAAATWAAATTAAATTTGTCTGACAAAGTAGCAGCTCTCATTTACAYCCGWCTCGTTAGGTTCGGTACTTTTCTCCTCTCAGTAGGGTTGTTTACAGCGCACYCGATTTCCAGTTAGCTTCTTAGCTTAGCCTCCTTCCCAGCGACAACACACATGCTTCAGCAAAGGCCACGCCTCCTGCAAGAAACGATTCTCTATGCAGCAAGCCCAGACCCTTGTATGAAGCAAAGTGAAGGACAGGGTCTGATTTAAACCAGGCTAGGTCAGAATATTATGTAGAAGAAAAAGGCAAGCAGTTACTGTATATCATCTAAGTAATATGGCAAGACAGTTGTATATTTATTCAATATACCCTAGGTTTTTATTCACACTAACAGCTCATTGAGTCTTTTGATGTGTTTCACATTTTATTCATTTAGTTTATTTATTTTACTGTTTTCAAAGTTATTTAGTTATTTTTATATTTCACATTGGATAAAAAAATTAATAATTGTGACTTTATTTTATACAGAATTTAGACGTTCCTACATTATTGTAAATGATCTGCTACTTTTGACCATCCCTTCTAACAAGGATTTTTTTTGTTTGTTTGTTTCTGCTTCTTGAGGAGTTATAGTCTATAAAAAAATAGCATTTATTTTGTTTTTTGTTGTACCAAACTTTAACACTCATAATTCATACTTACCAAATCATAATGTAGGCGTACGTTACACCCCTAATTTTTAAAGTGGCAATATTATGTGTTTCTCAGGCATACARTTAAATACTATACCATAATAAAGTATCTTCTCACCGTTAGCTGTTATTAAAATGCTGTTTTTATGTTTAACTAGAAAATAAACGTCTTCACATCACTTCCTCTTCTAAACGCCTTGAAATTGGCCTCTGTCTCTTTAAGAACAACCTTCTGCTTCTGTCCCACCCATTTCAGTGCAGGGGGGGGGGGTGCTATGATGCAGTGTACTTGCCATCTGAAAATACATTTCCTCAAAGGTGTTTTGAATCTGAAAAGGGCTTCACTGAGTGAGAACTAATGTTGAGAGCTGCAGACAGCTTCAGTTGCACTTTCAGTTTCACCAGTTGTTTGCTTTGTTGCTGCTGAGAGCCTGCAGGAGTCATGGGCAGGGTGAGTGGGGTGTGGAGGTGTGCTCCGTGATGAGGAAGCTCAGCTTGCAGACACAGCCCAGAGGCGGAGATGGTCACAAAAGGCGTTTCTAGTCCCAACCTGTCGTTTTTGCTCCCCTGCCTGCTGCCTTGGGACAATACAGGATTTCTCACACATGCATGAATGAATCAGAGCAAGGCTTTGGGCATGTTTTTTATGAGAGTGTAACATGATATAAAACTCAAAAAATGTTGATTTTACATGAAATAGCTCCTTTAAAAACTTGGCACAAAAAGTAAGCATTTGGTAGAAGCATTTGGTAGATTATTTCTTCATCCATCCATCCATCCATCCATCCATCCATCCATCCATGCATCCATGCATCCATCCATATCTTCCAATTATTTATGGTTGGGTAGCTTCTTAGAAATAAATCTTACACTGGGCACTAGATTGGCAGCACCTGTGTGGACCAGAAGTTCAAAACATGTATCAATAGCAACAACAAAAAATCTGTTCATGTTAGCAACCCACATACTGCTCATCCACTAGTGCATGTTCCTTACAAATGTGGTGCCATTTAAAAGGGAAATTAACAGGCTCTCCAACAATATTGCTAAGAAGCATTGTTACAACAAAGAAATAATTTACCAAACACTAATTTACTTACTTTTTGTGCTAAGTTTATATCTTTACAGATAAACATAAAGACAAAGAGGCAGACAGAAAATAATGGATGGGAGTTGTTGGATTCTGTAACATTTGGTCTGGGTCAGAGGTGGGACTCCAGGTCCAGATGAGTTCCAATATTGATTTGTATGGGTCATAAATCTGTGCAGAAAACTGACTGCTGTCCTCCACAGTCATCTCAATAAATTTCTCCCTCTCCTCCTTCAGTTTAAACGACAGAATAAAGACTATGAGAAGACCAAGACAAGGATAATGGAAATTGCCAATTATGTGGACAAGGTAAGGTTGATAAGCTGCCCTGCTGCTGTCTGTTGTTATCCAAACACCTGCTTCTTATATGCTAATAGATTTTGTTACATTGTCCTGAGATTTTTAATGTCACCTGTGGCATCTATCTGTGTCACATGGAACTGCAAAATGAGGACAAATATTTGCTGTTTTATGTGGTCTTGTCAGGATTAAATCAACAGTTTCTCTCACCAACCTTTTAGAGGAGACGAAGGAGAAACATCTTGTGTGACCAGACTGTATTATAGGAGCTGAAAACCAGACCATAAACTGACCTGTGATTGAGTGTGCACTGGCACATATTTGTTGTTGATTTCATGTCTCCATTTAGTTCTACAGGGCTTTGAACATCCGCGTGCCTCTGATTGGTCTGGAGGTTTGGACCGATAGAGACCAGTGTATCATCACCGAGGAGCCAAACGCCACTCTGTGGTCTTTCCTCCAGTGGAGACAGAAGCTGAAGTCACGGAAAAAACACGACAATGCTCAGCTGCTCACGTAAGAAGCATACAGTCACTCTTAAACCACACCAGCCAAAAATCAACAGATCTCAGGAGGACAATGTCTGATGTTCTGTAAAAATCTCAGTTCATGTGCACCTTTCTATAAAAATGTTTGCATGTTCTCCTCCCAGGTTTTCTGTAGCTGCTGATTATACATACTGTACTGTAGCACCACAGCCAAAGGAGGGCTATAGCTCTTACAAGAGTGGTGCAAACTCAGATGTGGCCTTTTTGTGTGGAGTGAGCATGTTCTCTCCGTTTACATGTGGGTTTCCTTTGGTACTCAAGTTTTCTCTCACACACCAAAAACATGCATGTTAGATTAACTGTTGACTCTAGTGAGAAAGAGGGTAAGTGGTTATCTGTTTCCCTCATCATCATCTCCGTGATGGACTGGAGAACTGTCCTGGTGTTGGTGTACCCCACCTCTTTCCATTTAACTACAAGACAATGGCTTAATGTTTCAGGAATTTCATGAGATCTAAATTATCCATACAGGCAAACATACATACATACTCTTCTTGTATTGTTGTACTGTTTTTGTAGTGTTTTAGTGTCCAGCCCCTGCAGAAAAGTTAACTATAACTGCTCATAGTTTTCTCTGAGATTTTTAAATGATAGCAGGAAGAGAGAGGCTCCAAAATCCCAGGTTTAGCTCAGCTTGTGCTTTTTCAGGTGTTACACAGAAGATTTTCATGGGAAATTAAAAAGCATTGAAGGTCATTAAATAGATTGATTTAAAATCAAGATTTTAAACAGCATTAAAAAGCAATCAATTTAAACCTGTCACACTAAATATTTTTCATTTGCCTTGACAAAAACCAAGATGAGTGATTTTGGAAACCCCTCTGTCTAACACATTTATCGGTATGATTGATGAACTTTACACATGGAACCACTTTAATAATTTTTTTGTGGTTGGTTGTGATGATTGCAGGATGCACATGGGTCAATAGAAAACAAGAAGCAGAGACAAAATGTGTAATTTTAAACTCCAGCTAAAGGGACTAGAAAACAAGAAAATGGTGACCTGGCTGCAGCTCAACAGTCAGGAAGGTGCAAGATTTTTACTGTGTTTGATAAAAAGAAGAACCAAACAGTACAACTTGTGAAAAGTAGTGGTTTCTCAATATCAATATCAGTATCAGCATTTTTACAAGTACTTCTCTTCTTTCTAAATGCCCCGATACCCTAAATTGATTCCAATTTTTTGTGAACTCCATCAGACTCTAGTGTGAATTTTTTGTCAACGAGGTGACCAGCATGCACAGACGTGACTTCACATTCAGTGCTGTTTAAGTAAACCTGTGGATGCTACATGTTAGCATGTCAATTTCTACTGGAGGGTTCCTCCTATTAAAAGGAAGTTTTTCCTCTCCGTTGTTGCCAATGTGCTGCTTAGGATAGGAGGCTGTGGCAAAGTGAAGATTCAACACAATCTGCTGGCTTCTTTAGATTTATTGTTTTTTTGTGTACAGCGTACAGATTCTGAACTCCCATGCACCCTCCAGGACCCTGCTGAGGGTGTAGAGCTGGTCCAGTGTTTCACGACCGGGATGAAAACCACACTGCTCTTCCTGAATCTGAGTTTTGACTATCTGACAGACCCTCCTCTCCAGAACCCCTAAAGAGACCTTACCAGGGAGGCTCAGAAGTGTGATCCCCCTATAGTTGGAACACATTCTGTGGTCCCCCTTTTTAAATAGGGGGACCACCACCCCGGTCTGCCAATCCAGGGGAACTGCCCCCAATGTCCACACAATGTTGTAGAGTCACATCAACCAACACAACCCCACAAAATCCAGAGCCTTAAGGAACTCCAGGCAAATCTCATACACCTGTGGCGCCTTGCCACCGAGGAGCTTTTTAACCAGTTCAGTGACCTCAGCACCAGCGATTGGAAAGCCCAACCCAGGGTCCCCAGGCTCTGCTTCCTCATTGGAAGATGTGTGGATTTGTGGGATTGTATCCAAAGTATTCTGCCCACCGACCCACAACGTCCCGTGTTGAGGTCAGCAGCACACCATCCAGACCATAAACAGTGTTGGTGGCGAACCACTTTCACCTCCTGAGATGCCGGATGGTAGACCAGAATCACCTCAAGTCATTCTCCGTGGCCTCTCCGAACTCCTCCCACACTCATGTTTTTTGCCTCAGCGACCACACGAGCTGCAATCCACTTGGACTGCCGGTACCCATCAGCTGCTTCCAGAGTCCCACAGGCCAAAAGACACAATAGGACTCCTTCTTCAGCCTGACAGCATCCCTCACCGCTGGTGTCCACCAGCCGGTTCGAGGGTTGCTGCCGTGACAGGCACCGACAACCTTGTGGCCACAGTAAGCCGCCTCAACACTGGAGGCATTGAACATGGCCTACTCAATGTCCCCTACCTTCCTTTGAACGTGTTCAAAGTTCTTCCAGAGACGTTCCCAGCAGACCCTCACTATACTTTTGAGCCTGCCAGGTCTGACTGGCATCCTCCCACCGTCAGAGCCAACTCACCACCAGGTAGTGGTCAGTTGACAGTTCTGCCCCTCTCTTCACCCAAGTGTCCGACATGTAGCCACAGATCAGATGAAACAACAACAAAGTTGATCATCAAACTCAATAATTCTGCATTCATTTTGTGCAATTTAAAGTGTAGATTTTTGCTCAGATTTGTCTGTTGTCTACAAAAATATATACAACATACATACAGTCCCCTCCAGAAGTATTGGAACAGCAAGTCAAATTCCCTTGTTTATGTTGTGCACTGAAGACTGGGTTTAAGATGAAAGGATGAGGATGAGACAAGAGTTCTGAATGTCAGCTTTTATCTCGTACTAACACGTAGATGTGTTAAACAACTCAGAACATACCACCCTTTGTTTGAACCTGCCTGTRTCTCAAGTGAACAAAACTATTGAAACATGACCAAGATTTGTTTCTATTAAAGTAATTGAAAGGTCAAAGAGTAGATAAATAAATAAACTTCTTATAATTCGAAGCACACAAGCTCATCTGTCAAGCATGTAGGTCAAGTCATTTCTTCAGTGTGCATGGCTTCTTCTGGCACAGGCTAATTAATATTTAATGATAATGCCACTTATAGTAGCAGCAGAATAAGCTTTGAAGTGCAAAAAATTGCAGAAAAACTAAAATTATGAAATGTTGTTTCTTAATCATATTTTGATCTAAAACCCAAATGCATTCAGTGAACAACAAAACAAAGGAGTCTTGTTGTTCCAGTTATTTTTAGGTGGACTGTTCATAAATGGTGGTGTTCCATGTCTCTTTTGGTTTTACGATGCTCTGTTTTGAGTGTTTGATTTGGGATAAAAAACAAGTGAACTAAAGCACATGYCTTAGTCTTCTGTAAAACAAACAAATAATGTGAAGTAGTTTAGGCATTCATTGTCAATGATGTCAACAAGAGCTTTAAAATGTAACTCGACTTGTAAAGTTTGTGTTCACTGTCGAAGGATTTAAGACTGACGATGAGAGCTTACCTATCTTCACCTGTCAGCAGGGGAGTAACTTTGTGCTAAAAGTTGGTGGGGACGAACTGTGGGGGACGGAGTCTGACACACCCACAGTTGTGCGACCAGGTTTTTCTGTTGTTGCTAAGAATAAAACCTAAACATAAATATGACTGCCATATGCTGTCTACTAAGGCTGTGTATTGGCAAGAATTTGGCAATATGATACATATCATGACAGAGAGGTCACGATATGATATATCCCGATATATTTCGATACTGTGAGCAAGGTGATTTATTGCGATATATTGCGAATTTTTTGTCCAAAGATTCTATTAAATAAAAACCTCTTACTGGAAAAAAAAAGAAAAACCAAATTTCATTGCCTCAGAAAATTTTAATATTACATAGACATACTTTTGATACAATTAACAGTGTTCTGCTTTGTATGTATTTGATTTTATTTGCTTCATATTTATTTCATCCATGTTTTCAATTATTAGACTAAATTTGCCAATAAATAGTTTGAAAATGTATTTTTTGCAGCTTTTAGTTTTTAATATTAATTTACAATATGGTCACCCAACACTTAACAATAGCCTTTATATTGTCATAAATTTCAGTAAACAGATGATATGAAGCTGCTGCACACAGAGTTTCTSGGATCAGCTGACCTGCATCCAGAACATGATTTGCATAATTGTGGGTCGAACAGCAGGGCAGGTCCTGAAAATAAACAGTAAATAAATAGAGAAGCTAAACAACACAGTTAAACCGTTTTTGAAGCGAACACAGCTTAAAGTATATGGACTTTGATGCGATCATCAGCTGGACATCATTGAGAGCAACAGATAGTTTTATGTCATGGGGGGAGTGCCGAGCTCGAGACACTAGACGCATGCGCTAAATGCATGCCTGCCTGCCTGCCTTCCGTAACGTTGGAAAAAAGAGTACACAAGACACTTAATTTGGCTTAAAATACAGACATTACGACAAATAAGTAACTATTRGTWAACTTACCTCAGCTTAGAAGGRAGAGGGTMTCGGTCTTTTCRGCTCAGATTCAGCTATCGGAGCATGAAGCTAATGTTTACTCACAACGCTAATGCTACCCTTACTCTCTGACGTTCAAGGGGTAGAGGATCCAAATGGCTGGCTCACTGCTGCCAACTAATGGTCAGAGTCTAAACTACAACATAAAAATGAATGTCTGGAAGGAAAGTCGACATTTTAAACCTTAATTAAAAATTGATACAGGGCTTTAGAATATCGATACAGTATTGGGAAATGAAATATCACAATATTTCAGTGTATCGATATTTTTTCACACCCCTACTGTCTACACTTGAAAACACAATAGTTACAAAAAGGGGTAGACTGGTACAATAATCCAGGCAGTGAATTTGATACCATCTCAGGCCACCACCACCTGATTAACACAAACCACCAAGATTCAACATGTAATAAGTGTGTGCTCAATTTAACTGTCTGCACTTGTCACTAACTTAATACCTAATGTTTCTGTTGTGATGCAAT